TTCTTTTATTTTTAATGAAAAATATTTTTCCTTTTATAGAAAGCAATTATGAAAATTAAAAACCTCTTAAATGCTAAAGGAAATTCAAGGACTAAGCTCCCTCCAAAGTAAATCCAAATAACCAAATCTACTGAAAAAACCCAAATAAATCAAATCTAATATGAAATTTAAAATAAACCAAATAAAATCTCAAAAACATCCTCCCTAAATGATTTGCTAAGAGTTAATTAAGAGATAATATTGATGCACTTGTCCAAATGGAAAGAATACTAATATGAGACAAATTATAGTCAAAGGACCAAATTGAGAATAAGAATATTTAGAAACCCAGTACTTTTTTTAAAAAAATTAAAATTAAAAAATATATAATTATCCTGCCAGTATACAACTATGGGATCGTTCGGTACACAGAATAAGGGCGGATAAAGATAATTTATCCGCCTTTATCTTATCCAGATCTATGTTTGGTAGATCGGATAAAATCTAGGTACGAAAGAAATTGGATAATAGTAGGACTAAATCTGGATAAACTATATTGGGGGGAGGGGTAGGATAATTTTATCCTACTCCTAGTCAACTTATTTGGTCAATACTACTTTTACTACCATCACTAGCCGCTACTTACACTACCTTTATCAAATAAGATAATTATTCAGATCACTATAGGATCAAGATAATTTATTCAACTACCTGCCATATCTTGCTTTATCTGATCCTATCTACCAAACGATCCCTAAAAATACTACAATATTGTAATTTTAGGGGCTAAAAGATACCAACAAACAACTCCTAAAGTTGTTTTTTAGAGCTTTTAACTTAGATATTGCCACCTTACGGGGTTTTTAACTTAGATAACAAACAAATCCTAAAGCTCCAGGGCTCTTGAAGATAGTCAAATTCAACAAAAGTTGCTAGTTGTGATTTTATAGCGCGCGGTCTTTCCTTTTTTTAGTAAAATTATTATTTTAAAACTTAGTGCTAAATCTATAAGATTATTAGATCACTTTTCAACTGTTTTAATTGTCAGTCAAATAATGATAAAAAATTTTAAAATAAAATAAAATAAATATTATATTATTTAATTTAAATAATAATTTTTTTATTTTATAATTGGTTCGACATCATTAGAATTATATAATTTCAAAATACAAGTTTCAAATAAATTTAATAAATATATTATTTTAAATTAATTTAATAAATTAGTCAAAATCAACTGATTTTATTGACTTTTAATTAATAAAATTCTAATTCTAATTATAAATTCTCATCTCGATCATTTTCTAAACTAGGTGTCAGTTGAATGATTAATTAGTCTGACGTAGGTTTTAAAACATTGAGTAAAATGAATAAAAAAATCCAAAATTTAATTGAATATGGTCAACTTGTGACATTGAAAAGTTTAGCATATCAATTAATTCTAATTTAATTTATTAAGACATGGTAAAATTTTATATTATTACGTCGTTATAAAAAATTCTCATGTTATTACAAAAATTATTGTGTTAGATTATGAGAAAACGAGATAAGATTGGGCGGGCGGTTAAGCAAGCTGTTAGTCAAATTTCAAATGGAGCCGTCAGATCAATATCACAATCAAGCAGCCAAGGTGATTCCTGGGTTGGGTTTTTAAACTCAGGGGTCATTATCCAAATGGGGCGTGATTCGATCAAGTATTCAAACAGCCGAGTCCATGTTGGAGTTCAAATTCCAATGGTGGATGTTTGCGCGGGCGAAAAGCTTCCGGGTGTCGTTGTTGTCAACAAGATCCGCATACTAAAGCCCATTAACTCCATCCAGATAGAAGACAGGCCCACTCTTTATGGAATCCATTTTCTCGTACCGCTCCAATCCATGTTCTCAGCCCAGCCCAACTAGTAGAAATTTCTGCTTTTCTGCTGCAATTTCTTTCTAATCTGTTACTGTTTTACTATAGGGGTTTTGTTGCTGGAGGAAACCAGTGTTTCCATTAGATTTTGTGGTATTGTCTCCGGGTTAATTGGAATTATAAACTTTTTTATTTTAAATAATTTAGAGATCGGTCTATTTTTTTTTTCGAAAATAATAAGACTTTTTTGTTTTTCAGTTATTTATCAAAACATTGTATTTTTGCTCCTTTTTAACTTGAGACGCACCCCATGTGCCTACAAATTCTATTCCATGTGCACGCGCCTTTCCCGCACGCGCCTTTTCCACACCACTCACACACCTTGGGCTCTCTCTTGCATCTCTGATCCGCAGATCAATATGCCTCGTGTGCCTGCTTGCATGCAATTCTTCAATCCCACGCGTCTGGCTTGTCTCACACGATTCACATCCACTAGACTTTGCTCCTGTCCTCACGTGCAAGCGCTTCTATTTGCACGTGTAGCCCATGCGTTGTCCTCCTTCATTTGGTACATGGCTAAAATCCGTTGCCCATTGGAGAAGCTCCCTGGCCACTACTCCTTGTCAGTATCCCAAATGCACAAGCTAACTAGAAGCTTCTCTATTGCTCTTTGGATCACCCAAACCCAGAACCCAAAACACTCATGCACGTAGAGCAGAATTAGAAAAAGCGAGAAGAGGAGAAAACCAAATTATGGGAAAATCTCTCATAATTTCCCCAACCTTCACTAATCAACCATTGATTACAAAGGAAATCACTCCATTTTCCTTTTTACTTCCAGGATTGGATCCCTTTCTCTCAACCCTGGATTAAGCCCCCTTGTGCAAAGAACAAAGAAGCCCCAATTTATAGATTCAGAAGCTAGAGGAGATAAGCTCCAAACTCCTCAATCTTTAGTTAACAACCCTAGTCGTTAGGTTTCAATCTACCTAACTTATTAGAATTTTGGTTGATTTGGGTTTATTTTTGTGAAATCTCTATTTTTGGTTTGATGCTCTGCAATTTCTGAATTATTTACGTCATATCTCTCTTATTATTACTGATTGACTCTAAGAAGTTCGGCCTAATTGTCCTTCTACGATAATTGCCAAACATGTTGTTATTGTCATTGCTCTTATTGGCATCGATTCCACCCATGGGAGCCTCACAGAAGCTTTCCAAGAAGCTTCCATGGCTTTCGACCCCGCCATGACTCGATTCTAACTCAACTAAGCTCAAAATTTGCTATGATCTTATCCATCTTCCTTCTTGGACTAGGTCTACTAGGGTCGGCCCATTAATTTGGCTTGCACTTGCCTAGGGGACTAGCCCACTACTACTAGGCCTGTCCAAGAGATCCAAAGGTTTGCTTGCTAGCCCAACTCGCTTGCCTCGATCCAGTGCTTTGTGCCCAGCCCAATTAACTGGGTATTGGGCCTACTTTGGCTGCCAGTATTTCTACTCTGCCCAAGCCCAAGTACCTATTCCAGTCCATGCCAACTGCAGGTCCAGCCTATTTCAACAGTAACCCAGTCCAACCTATCTTTTTTGCCCCAGTGCTTTGACCTTCTTGAATTAGACCGGTCCAGGCCCCAAGAGACTAATAGGTACGGTGATATGAGACGGAGTTGGATAAATCTATTAAATTTTGAATCAAACATTTTTTCTCTGGACAGAGGCAAAGAGGATTATTTGGGCTTTCTTTTTGCGCTTAAGCTGTTATTTTTATGTCTTAAAAAACAAAAATTAATATTTATACCCAGGCTAGCAAATTATTTCTAAATTGTTTCAGAATAATTTCAAAATAACTGTCAGCTTTAATAAATACAATTTTGTATTATTTGTAGAATTTTCAAAATTATTTTGACAAAATAGAAATGTTGTCGAATTAAAATAAATCAAGTTCATTATTCAAAAATCAGTTAAAAAAATTGTAAGTTGACAGAAAATTGAAGATCCCACCGTCGACAAACAGAAATTAAACAAATAGACAAGAAGAACAGAGGTGAGAAGACAGTAGCTAAACTGAAGTACCGCGTCGCGTTCGCAGAGGAAACTTGAAAGACAATCGCATTTTTCTCTGCATCCGCCGCCGGCGATGCGCTTCTCTCCGACTGTTGCCACCATCGCCGCCTCCATCGGCATCGCCCTCTGCCGCCGCCTCTACTCTGCCGCGGAGCTGCCGAAGCTCTCGAAAATACCTGCCAGGTACAGGCGCCAAGCAATTGAAGATGCCGGGAAGGCCCTCACCGAGTACCTCCACTCCACGAGAGCTCTGCCCTTCACCTATGCCGAGCACATCAGCAGGAACGCCCTCGCCTGTCCCTCTCTGATGTCATTTCGAGGGTCAAATATTCCCCCTCTACCTTATTCAGCTCGCTACAGAGGTATTTAAGGTACCACCCTATCAACGAATTCGAGTTTTTCTACGAAAGCATTGGCATTCATTACGACCAAATTAAAGGGTTTTTGCCCCCCAACAAATTCTTTCTATCCGATGATTTGAGGGTTTTGATGTGGCCTGCGCTCTATCTGTATTTGGGTTTCCATGGAGCAGTTTGGGGAAGTTGTATAGGGAAGAAATTTCGATATTCAGCAGAGATCCTAGTGAAATAAGTGATAGGCTTCACGGTTTTAAGGAGGATCTAGGGTTTAGTACGGCGACTGTAGTTGGTGTATGTTTGGTTTTCCCTTACGTGCTTAATGATAAGAGTGATCGACTGAGTGGCGAAATTAGTGCACTGTTTGATGATTTGGGGAAGCTATTTGCTGATTTAGATTTGGGGAATTGTGTGGAGGGGAATGTAGATGATTGGGTTGGGGTTTGTAGGAAGATAAAGGTGTTCTATGATTTGGGTTGCAGGAAAGGGAAGTTGGGGGAGTTGATGGCTAAGAGCAAATTTATTTTTCTTCAGTACCCTGAAGAAGTTTTGGTCGATAAAGTGGATTTCTTTTGTAGATTGGGTGTTAACAAGAGTGATGTGGGTCTTTTGCTTCTTGAGAGACCTGAGATTTTGGACCTTGAATTCAAGGATCAAGTAGTTTCAGTATTGGGAATTCTCAAACACTTGGATATAAGTACAAAAGAACTAAAATCTATCAGTCAAAGCAAGCCTCATTTTTTGGAAGAAACAAAATGGTTAACTTGCCTCATGTGATGAGAGCTTTAGATCTACATGAATGGTTCTTCAATAAAATGAGAAATGGGAAGCATTTTCTCCTTGGTACTTACATTATTGGCAATGAGGAAGACCTGGATAAAGACTACCAATGTTGTCTGGATATGATTCACCAAACCAGAACCGCTGTTCACACTCTTAATAAGTTGAATTTCTTGCATGGTATTGGATTTGGAGAAAATAGTTTGACAATCAAACTCTTTGCAAATTTGCATGGTACTAGTGCTGAGTTACAAGAGCGGTTTGATTGCCTTCTTCGAACTGGGATTAAATACTCGAGCCTGTGCAGAATGGTGACGGTGTCACCAAAGTTCTTAAACCAAGATGTAGAAATTCTTGAACAGAAAGTAAAGTTCCTTGTGAGGAGGTAGGATCCTCACTGGAGCATCTTGAAGTGTTTCCTGCCTTTTTGTGTTATGACTTGGAGAAAAGAATCAAACCAAGGTACAGATTTCATATGTGGCTCACAAAAAAATGGTTTCTGTGCAAAAAGTTATTCTATTGCCAGCATGATTGCAACCAGTGAGAAAAACTTTATAGCTCGGATCTCTAAATTTCATCCTGATGCTCCAAAACTGTGGTTGGAGCAGTTTAAACAAATATCATAGTTTTAATTGCCAAGAAGCGTAGGTAAGAATCACTTCTGAACTACGGGGGCCAAGATAAGAGAGTTGTACATGTTACTAGTCGGGATTCCTCACTAACCCAGGTCTAAGAACTCTAGCGTTATGATTTTGTGTTCATCGTGAAGAAATTGTTGCCAGAAGATAAGTTACTTAATTTGTCGCAATATGCAGCGGTGTGAATCTTCTCTGCCTCTAATTATTTCTGGGAATTCAGAAATGACATTAAGTGCTTACAGTGTGCCTTGGACAAATCTAATTTGAAGGATTAGCTGTGGATTTTATTTGTGATCCCGTTTTGAGCCAGTCCTCAGAAGAAGTGTATTGGTTGTCAAGAGAAATTTCACTTGAAAGAAGTTTATTGGTTGTCCAGTGAAATTTCACTGGAAAGAAGTGTACCGGTTGTGGGTGAAATTTCACTTGAAAGACATGTATTTGTTGTCCAGTGAAATTTCACTGAAAAGAAGTGCATTAATTGTCTGGTTTAAATATCGCTTTCGCAGGGTTCTTAGTTGCATTGACTCGTCTGAATATCTGTAGTCATCTCTGAACAGGAGAAATGATAGAAGTAGTTGAAATTATTTGAATTGCAATATATGTCATGAATTCTTATACTTTTAAATACTACTAAGAAACAATGGAATAGTTATCTCCGTCTGCATTAATATTTTCTTTTTGTGGTTTTTTTCCCTTGAAAAATGGATGCAACTCCCTGTGGATACAATTGTGACATTCAAATTATTGGGCAAGATGTACTGAATCTGGCAGACAACATTAGAGAATCGTGCCTTTTTTTTTCCTCCTCTCAATTAAGTTTATCCGGTGGATATGGATCTGTTATCTTGTCAAACTCTGCTGGTTAGAAGACTGCATTCTGCTGCGTTATAGAGGTTTTAATCTCATACATTACATGTAAATATTCAATTCATTTTGGCATTTAACGAAAAATGAAGCAGTCCCCCGATTAGTATCTGTATTATTGAATTCTCCCTTTATATTATCAGGCTGCCCTGCATTTGATTGGAAATCAATTCTTGACTTCTCATATTCTTCCTTCATGATTGTGTTCTTCATGTTGTAAGCTTTGGTTGTTGTCTTGACCTCTGGGTTCATGAGTCCCATCCTTTTTAACTTACAGCAGGGAAGTATGTCTTCAAGACACCGAGTTAGTCCATGTGAACATATGCTTTCTGAAAATTCTTACTGATGTTCCATGGTTAACATGGTTTTTGCATTGCCGTGAAAGATTCCTATGCAGGCAGTAGTCTAGCTTTACACAGAGTTCCAACACCTCTGTGATGGAGACAGCAATTGAATTTTGTAGGCACATGCATGGGTAATAGTTAAGTTTTGTGTCAATCCTACCATTTGCTGTTTGTGTTTTCAACGATTGTTTTATCAAAGCAATTCTTTGTTTCAAAGGGTCTAGATTGCCGTGAGCAGTTGGATTTTTTATACACAGGTCCTAGCGAACCATATAGATATAAAGTCCAGTACTAGCTATAATTCCTGGCATTTTGAGCTCTTCAAAATTTCTTTGCGAAATAAAATTATTAAATGTTGGGGAAATCCCTTTGAGGCATGGATTGGTAATCTAAACCATGCCCCAAATGGGACTTAAAATTTTGTGCCTTCGTTGTGTTGTGAAGAACATTTATCTCAATTATACAGGTGCTATGTTAAAGCATCCCTATTCTTTCGTCTCAACAAAGGCTTGATCTCTAATTACATGGGGTAGGCTCCAGAAATATGTTTTATTCAGACTACAGAGGAGTGACTTGTCAAAAAATTATAGATGCTAGGTGAAAATAGCAGTGATCTACTGCTGTAGTCTTTAGATATGGTGAATGCTCTGTGCTTTGCAGTTTCAATTTGAAGAGAAGTTGGCTATCGTTACTTTTGAATTCTTATTATTATATGAGTCACTCAGATATGGTAACATGTGATTTAGCAGTGTCACTGTCAAGAACTACCATTTATTCTCTAAGTTTTCATTTAAGCGATCTACTTTTCAAGGGGATGTTGCCCTGCGAAGAGGCTTCCTTACCAGCAGGAGCATGCCGCCGTAAGAGGGAGAATGTAGGGTGTAACATTTTTTATTTTCAATCACTTATATTTTTAGTAAAGCTGGGTTCAAGCGGAAAATTTAAGGCTCTGTTCAATATTCCTGCCATATTTTAGTCTTACATAGGAAACTGTATGGTTTTATGGCTGATTACGTTGCTGGCTTGAGAACTGAGATGCCTTTCTTAGTGGATGCAGCACATGAGGTAGCCAGTAACTGCTACATGAGGAGACAGAACAATCAGGGTTTCACACGAGATGGAATGTTCAGGTGCCCTGTGCTTTTGTTTCTTTTCTTATCCATTCTAAGATGGGTTTAACTGGAGAGGATCAGAAAGTAAGAGGTTAGAAGCAATATTCTCGAACTACAATTCAAGGTCACTGCCACTGGATGTGAAATTTGCTGGCTAAGGAGGGCACATGAGCTATGCCCAAAAATGAGCAACTTCTGTGTTTGGCACAAGTACCAAATACTGAATGCTAGGATTTTTAGAGTTTCTAGGTTTTTCGAAAGCTGCAACTTTTAATCTTTTGTGAGAGTGTTTTGTTCTTAAAAAGTTGAATGCAACAATCTCCTATGTCTAGCCTCCATGTTTCAGATTCCTAATCCTCTTTATTGTGCAGTGTTTAGGAACTCGGGCGTATTGTATATATACTCAAGTAGTCGTTGATGACGTGTGATGATGTCACATGTCATTTATGATATCACTATATGATCAGCTATGATCCCTTGGTGGGTAGACTCCACGATGTTTGAATTCGAGTTCTGAATTCGATTTCTTTGTCCTCTCCATTCAAGACCAGATTCATTAGGAGTAGAGATACTCGAGTCCCCAACCATCCAGTCGGCAGATGCTTTGAATGGCAGAAGCACATGGTGCAAGGTAATGCAGAAGCACATGGAGGTCACCTTGACCTTCTATCAGATCTTTTCAGTAGAAAAATAAATTTAAAAGTTTATTTTGGTAAATCAAAAACGTGGTCTGTCTATTTTGAAATTAATCTTAATCATTGAGGTTGATTAAAATTGACTATTTTAAACTGGAAATAACTCGAATAGAATAAAGTGACTAGAGGAGTATGTCTCTGGGTTTTGAAGTCCACCGATTTGACTCATTACCTTTGGAAATTTCTGTGGAAGGGGGTCCATCATGGCATCCATCGTTTTCATTGAAAACACTCAGGAACAAGAACTATGAAACGTTTATTCAATCAATTCACCATAATTATTTCATTTGACAAAATACGCAACCACAAAACAATTCTAGTGGCCACTAAAGTCCTATATTGGGCCTAGCGTGATACGGATTTTCCACTTAACCCAAAAAAATTAAAACTCTTAATCGTGTCAAGTTTCCATTAAATATAATGAATCCTAACTCAAACCTGGTTAATAATAACGTCTATAAATGGGTTCATGTTTATCAATCATGTCCATGCGGGTTGGGTTTAGGTTGTGTTTGGTGATGGGATAATTTTGCTTCTTGCAATTGATTAAGTAACAATGAGGTAGAGACAGCAAGTGAGTCAATAAGCAACAATGTCCATCATGCAACTATATTACCATGGCTAACAATTTTTTTTTTCAATTAGCGGTATATTTGATATTAGATTGTAGTTCATTACATTAATTTCAGTCTCTTATATATATATATATATATATAATTTTTTACATATATCACAATTTTGTATATATTTTTCAAGTATTAAGTAGGATTAGTCAAGCAGATTAAGACTTTATATTAAATATGTTCTAATTACCAATTAGGGTTTGAAGGAAAATGGCTCCTTCAATCATAGCATAAGCTGATTATAGTTGAAAGTTCTTACTCAAACTTGTTAAATAAGAATTAGATTGAATTTGTATCCATTTTTAATATGCTAAATTCTAAAGATGATTTTATTAATATTTTTTTCCTATAAATTTGGTCAATTCATAAGACTTATTTTCGGTCTAAAAAAAACTCTTTCTCAAATATATTAACTAAATAGTGAAGAAAAAAGGGATATTTTTTTTTTAAAAAAAATTGTATTACTTCCTTTTATATAACGTGATTTCAAATGATTAAACTTATACGAGAAAGAAAAATTTACAGGAAAAATACTAAATCTAAATTACATGAAGAGAATAGTTCAACTATGAAATTTATAATTTATAAAAAAATACCATTAAATATTACACCAAGGCATTTTTGTTCACAAAAAACATTTTGTATACTTTTGGCTAGTTGGTGGCATCAAATATTTACTTTCAAAATATATGGTCTCCAATTAAATAAAACAATTTAGTAAAAGAAAAAAATTACCAATTAGTCATTTAATATATATAAAAACATATACACACACATATATGTTATGTATGTATGTATTTATGTCCATCTTATTTTATGCAAGTCAATTTATGGACATACTAATTAGGGTTTAGAACCCGTGACATAATTGAATTCTCTTTATAGCAAGTGAATTAAAATATGTACCTTTTTAGGTAGAAAAAAAATCTAAGATAATATTGTTTCATTTAAATTATAAAAATCTAAGTAATTTATTAAATTTTTACCTATTTTTAGATGTATAATAATTTAAAATCATTTGCATCTACCAATTCAAGCAACTTAGCACTTTGAATTCTTATTTTTGAATATATAAATTTTAATAAGTTTTTCTTTCTTAACTAGATATTATTT